TTTTCTGAGCATGTCAAAGAAAAAAAAAAAGAGATAAACCGTGCAAAAAGTTCAACTAAAAAAAAATTGGCCTTTTGTGATTATCGCTCCTCGCAAAAATTGTAAGCTCACCAAGTATTATTTCGACACCGATACTTTCGACGAGGACGAGTGCTTTTCTGGGAGTGCAATTAGCCTTTCTGTCGTGCGGCTCATGAAGAAACGCGGCGGGGGGGGGGGGGGGGGGAATGACCCGAAAACGCCTGCGAAGGAATGCGACAGAGGAAAGCTCATGAAGAAATTTTGACAGCGACTCGCCGGGGAATTCAATTAAATAAAACTCAATCATCCTGGAAAGATATTTCCCCCGAGTTCACGTTACCTCCGGGAAAGTTCTATGAACGTGGAGATTACTTGCTTGAGAATTTTACGAGATTGAATGGTTGATTCTCAACTGAGGGAAAAGCAGACGGGCGAAGTATACGAGAATACAGAGTTGTCTGAAACCGTACATAACTTTTAATCTCTACGAATCCCTTGATTCTGACACTTATTATACTTATCTTCGACTCGAGTCCCGGATAATTTCGGCAATTCCATTATCGCATTGTTGAGAAGAAAAACCGTGAGTTCTCGAAGCCGAAATTTGTATACAAATATTTTCTATTAGCTTTGCACATACCACTAAGAGATAATGCACGTAAAATTATGCTACTAACGTGTGTGTGTGTTTTATATGTGTATGTATATACAGTATTCACGCTTCACTAATATTGGCACTTGAAGTTTCCGACAAATTGAGAAAATATGAGAAAAAAAAGTGAGATAGAGATAGATAGATAGATAGATAGATAGATAGATAGAGAGAGAGAGAGAGAGAGAAACGGAGTTCGAGCGTCGTTTGGACCTTTTGAGCATATACGCGTTCGCGAAGCATAGCTCATCCGAACACGGACGGAACACGACTCGATGATATCTAGAATGATTCTGGAGGCAGTATCGAGCGTGTAACGACAACACGCGTTTAGAAATAAGGGTACTGGTCTTTCGCTCGAAGCGTCGCGCACCGACCTCCTATCTATCGAACAAACATCGTGGACGTTATATCTTACGAAGTGGAGCTTCAATCTAAATTATCAAAGAGGAATAATGCTGTCAACCGAGATTGGCTACTCGAGGAAAGTTTCTCCTCCAACAGAATCAATGATTCCCCCCTGCTCCCCCGCAATTAACGGAAAGGAGAGTATTTCCTAGCTTTGAAGTTTTGATTCTCTTCCGCGGAGCAAGCATATACTCTTTCGTTTGTGCGAGACACTTCTGTATGAAATGTGTGTTTATACACTCCGAACGTATCCGTTTATAAACTGCGAACGTATCACGCGTATTTTGCTCGCTCTATCGAAACGATTGAGAGAGAATAATGCCTTTTCATTCATTTAAGTTGGTATTTATAACCCATTCTTACTTTAAGATCGTCTTAAATAGTAACGTCTTAAGATACTCATAGCAGAGTTGTCATAAATTCCTCTTCTTAAAATTCCATAATTTCTCCCTGATTTTCAATCAAAATTTCATTAAATAATTTTTTGCTCCGATTTGGAAACCGTCAAACATTTTATTATGAGTAATTTAAGCAATGTAAATTGCTATTAATTGTTGACACTTCTCTCGTTTAATTGTTAAATAATTGTTAAATTGGCAGTATTCTAAAACTGCGTAATGTATACACATTACATTTCTTTAAAGCTTAGAATTTTAATTTTCTAAAAAATTTTGCAAAATTCCCTGACTTTTCTCTGATTTGCTTGACCGTTTTCAATTTCCATGACAAAGCTTTCTTGAACTCCTGAAATGATATTTCTCTGATTTCCAGTTTTATGGCAATTCTGATAAAGTTCTGTGATTGGCTTATGATATTTTAAGATTATACTAAAGACGATTTTAGATATAAGAATCGACTATAAATACTGGCCTTAGGAAACAGTGATCACTACTAATAACGTCTTTTCTCGCGAAACGATAACAGAACAATAATTAAGGTGCGAAGATTAAACGCTAAGCGCGGCATTAAGAGCACTTACTTTCACAAGAATGCATTTACTTGGGCAACACTGTGTCGTTTCGAGTTAAGGGCGGTGACGATCGCGAAAGAAACCGGCCTGTTATGTTTAAGTTAAGCCGCGTGTGTTACACATATTGCGATTGATATTACCGTACTTCTTACTATTTGAACATCGTTTCGGTTCAGTTTCTTTGGCACTGTTTTACATTCTTTCTCGGCCGGGTTGTTAAGACGATCGATTGGTCGGTCGACGGAGGACGAGAGTGTTTAATCGAACGTGCTTGCTGAAGCTCACGTAATAACTCATAACTCTAACGAAGAACACCGCCTACTGATTTACAACGTAATCGTAGCGAACATTATTTACAAGTAGTACAATTTACAAAGGGCACTGACTGGTATAACGTGGTAACTACAGACCTGAAAAAAAAAAAAAACGCTCAATACTCGATCGCGAGTCTTTACCGAGGCATTTTATGCACCTGTCGAACTTCTGTATGGTACAGCGTTATTAGAGAGAAGCATTGAAGTCTGAGCTGATAAATATGTTGTATTCGTTATGAAAATAGATAGCATAAATAAAAAAAATGCTAATATCAATATTTTATTATATTTTTTAAATCATATTTTCTTAATACAAAGGACTTGAGTAGGAGAATAAAAATATTTATAATCACGAATATATATATAATGATTTAACTGACTCCTTCGTTTTTAAATAAGGCCAATAAAAATTTCAATAACTAATTCAAATTTACGCTCAAATGTCTGCAATATATGTACATATAAATAATTGAAAATGTTTTATCAGAACAGTTTACTTGCTCAACGCTGTGCCATATGTTCAATTAGGGCAAAGTTTCCTCTCTTCTTCAAATATAACATTTTTCCAACATTTTGCGTAAAGACTCTAACAGAAATATCATTTCTCATACATTACGCGTTCTTAAAAAGAGTTCGCATGGTGCAATGCACATTGTAACATTACATGAGATTATTTATATCTACAATGACTTTCGCAATGCATCGTATTGCACAACTATAAGAGAAATTCTACTATATCGCTGTTTTGTAATAAAAAGTTCATTCAATAACAATGAATTTTTTAACATTTTCATTATATGTATATATATGTATATATATATATATATTAATCCATTATAAATAACTAGATGTTATAAAACAAAGAGAAATCGATAAACAACCCGGAATTGTCTAATATTCAAGCAGTTGTCTCGTGAACTCAACTAACAACATTAGATAATAATGTAATTATTGCATGTTTCACTGAACGTATACTATATGTATCAGAGAGAGAAAGAGAGAGAAAGAGAAAGAGAGAAAGAAACGTAACTTGTTAAACGATATTCTAAACTGTTCTATTGCTGATCGTAAGTTGTTTAAATTTAATAACATCAGATCCAATAATTCTATGAGTGTGTGCTCAGGAACATAATACGAGGAAAAAAGATCGCGAACGCGAATATAAAATTTTTGCGAAGAAAAAACATATGATTAATTCGTTAAAATATTCAGAAGATCATTTTTACATCTAAAACTTTTTGCAAGAGCATTTTATATACCTCACAAACGTGTCCCTCTTTTCTCTATATCCATGGCTACGGATGGCTTCGAGCAAATTATTCGCAGTCGTAAAACAATGTGTTAATGAGCAATAAAAAGACTAGGATTGTGCGGAGAAAGTCGCGAGTTTATCATTTAAAATGTAACGTTAAGTCGTTCAATCCCTAAAAACTGTCAGGCGTTTTAGCTAACTTTTATAGAGCCTGTAAATAAAAAAAATAGTAAAACGCTAAATTTCGAAAGAATACTAATGTATATATATTACACAAATTTTGAAATTTTTGTTTGTTGTGATACACATCTACATGTAAAATATAACAAATTCATTAGATAATATATCGGATATGTAATCTATTTGCACAATATTTGTGTGAATGAACAATTTAATGATATCCCAAGTATAACAGATTAGGCAAAGAAAATATTAAAAAATTTGGCACCGTGGATTTCCATGCAAAACCAATCAAAAAGATTAAACCATTCAAAAATCCTATTCCAATGTACTTGATATCATCTTTTTCATTTGAATAATATAACAACAATAGAGCAATAATTATGAATAATATTAATAGTTACAATATAATTGTTAATAATAATAATTAAACAAAAGTATTTTGTTTACATTAATTATTGTAAATACTGTACACAACATATGATATTGTCGTTTAGTAATTATTAATGATGATTGATAATTATTATAAAAACTATATGTTTCGTATTAATTCTTTTCTAAACATTTTTCTTTTTTACGGAAAAACACTATGCCGGACGCTTCTTTCTTCATTCCTCATCAATAATTAAAATTTAAAAATAGAAAAACTTGCACAACGTATTGTATATACCATATCTTTTTATAATCAAAACCGTTATAAAATCAAAGTGATTTGACCTCTAAAAAATTCACTAGTTTACGTAACTTAAAAAATAGTTAAAATTATATACAATTTTACTTGCTTGAGTTGTTCATTTACGTGATCATTAAATTTCTTTCGCTTTTCTTTTCTTTTCCCTTAAGGCTGTTTATCGTCTCGTTTTTTTTTCTTGTCAACCGACCATACCTATCAGATAATCAATACATTATCATAGAACATATCAGCGAAGGTAAAAAAGAACGAAGAAGTAACAAAGAATCTTAAATTCACGAAGTACTATGATCTCTCTCTCACATATAGGAAGGTAACCCGATTTTCTTTTTTTTTTTCAAGCCCTTTCTCAAGTTGCGATGAGCAACGCACGAATCGCGAGCGAGATTCGTGCCAGCTCATGGATAAAGAGTATGCATGTATATGTTATAAGTGTTTTGCGAGCCAGTTTTCTTTCCTCCTTCCGGTGGACAAAAAGAAACCCGGACGTGGCACGCGGTAAGCCTTATTAGCTCTTGGACCCTCTTCTCACAATCATATCATTTTTTTTTCTTTTTTTTATTTACGTACTCTTAAAGTGGACGACACACTTGGACGTGCGCACGGTAAGTAACTTATTACAGAGTTTAACTACTTCTTTTCCGTTGCGCCTCTTCTCTCTTCGATTTTCTACAATGTCTTCCTCAGTCGTTACAGGACCAGCTTTAAATCTCCGTACGTTCCCGCACAATTTTATGTTCGCTGATCATCAGAATGCCCTTATTTCCATTTTTCTATTCCGAATAGATATCTATCTCTTGAATGTACTCGATTGTCAACAGCCTTCATGCAAGTATTTAGTATTGATCGAAGTTGATGCGCGCGAACCTTACCGTGATGACGAGAGTCGCCGAGATCGTCGCCGTCGTGGAAATTGTCGCAATCGACGACTCTTGCAACGGAGACGTGGGGAAGATTTGCAGGAAGAGTATTTCGCGTACGATGTATATTTATCATTGCAAGATGCTTTATGACAAATATTGTACACGAAATCTTGCATCGAGCCATTTCGAGTCACTTGATTTTCCGGTGATAGAACACAGGAATCATATGGACCGTGAAAGATCAGCCTTAGAACATGCCGAGAAAATGCAGATTCTACGGCAACGTTGACAGTATCGAGGAAGAGGGGAGGAATAAGAGGCGGTCTTTTCAGTTTATGTCAGTAATGCCGATGATCAATACCCCCGATGTTGTTGCTGCCGATGTTCATGGAGTTACTAATTATACCGTTATCAGTGGTATTCGGAATCGGCATTCTGCCGGCGGCGTTCTCACTGTCATATTCTAAGATCAGTCGTTTTATATGGCTCAGCTTATTGTGCAGATAGTCAAACCGTTCCTTCATCTGCTGGTATACTGGATTCTGTTTCGTCTCTTTGTACTCGCGATATATCTGTTCTTTAGTTTCCTGAAACCAGAAAAAACACCACCATATGATCTTGTCTGTTTGTTCGATAAACGCAATCGGATCATTTATGATAGAAAACTACGATATATACCTCACTCTCGATCATGTTGCCCGATTTCTTTTGATCTTGCAATAGTGTATACAAATGCGTGAAGCGATTTGCGGTTACGAGTACTTGAGAGTGCAACCTACGATATTCATCATAGTTCGCGTTGAACTCTTCTTTGTAACGCCTTTTCTGCTCCGGGTTGCTTATTGTTGTATATTCCCTGGACAAATGAATTTACATAAATATTGTATCAATCAACAAGTTACATTAAATTAACTTGTAACAATCTATGAAAAAAACATCGTTTTTCGTTATCATTTAAAACTACTTCCGTAAATTAGTAATAATCGATAACGTAGCTAATATACTCACGTGCGATAGTCGACATATTGCCCGGTACTTCCCAACCTTTCGAATCCATCAGTCGGCAGCGAGATCGCAGTGGTGCCAATGGCATTATCGGCATAAGTAGGAGCGCTAGAGGTTTCACCGTAGATACCTGCATAACTGGTGGTACTACTCCTATTCCTGAATTCCCTCTCTCTGTTTCTCTCTTCTCTCGCGCCTCGACTCCTATCGCTCCTGTCTCTCCTGTCGGTGTGTTCAATCACGTTGCTCGCAATTTCATTGGCTATAATGACACCGCCGTCGTGTCTATCTCCATTCGGATGATGGTTGCCCCTTTCACTATCATCAGGCGACAACGGTGTCAAGCACGATGATCGATTGGAGTCGTTTGGAACTGCGGTGATAGCGGAGACTTCACTATAGACGTTTCCAGTACCCCGTAGTACATCACTGCTGTTTGCTGTCCTTTCCAGTACCCCGTAGTACAAACTGCTGTTTGCTGTCCTTTCGGCCCGGTAATCGACGCGGTTGCTGCTGCTGCGTTCACTCTGCAATTGCCGCCTCGTTTCCCAACCGTCGAAACCGCTACCGCCGTTGTTACTATTACTACCATCACCACTATTGCTGTTACCACAACCACTATTAACGCTAGTGGTACGATCGACGATACGGTCGCCACCAGCGGTTGCACTAACACCACTGTTATTATTATTATAACTGCTGCTGCCTGATAGCCTTTCGCCAGCAGGGATGAAGGAGATAGGTTCGGGTTTCTTATAATGCGATATCCGCGGCTTCTTCGTTGGTAGTCCGTCGTTACCCTGATAGTATCCTGGTCTCTTGTTGCTAACCAAATTGGGCGGAGGTGCCGTGATCGCCGGCGGTGAACCCGCATGAATGGAATTGGGCGACTGACCACTGCCTAAGAGTGTAAACATGTACAAAAGATGTGTTATTAAAAATAAAGTTTTGTATTTATATATGTAAAAACGTTGATAGAGCGATTAGTACACGTACCGCTGGAACCGCCGTCGCTCGAGCCGGGTGGAGTAAGGTTTTGAGGTTTCCGCCTCCTCAACATTGTCCTTTCTTGCTCGGTGTAGAAAGGCCAATCCTCCAGCACATCATTCCAGATGTGCCTGTACAGGTGATACGTGTTGTCACGCATGTAAGCTACTTGCTTTAGAAGCGTCTGCATGATGGGTCGCTCTCGTTCTCTCAAACCCTCTGGAATTCGTCGACATATATGTTAATATTGTCGACTATTCCGAGAAATTGAAAACATTCAAATCTTATTTTACCTTTTTTGATGCGTTCGTAAAGCTCGGGCTTTTTGTAGGGTCTCAAAGCAAGAAGATGGATAAGTCTTTCCCTATTGCACAGAAACAAATTCAAACTGCATTAAAATCTTTTTCAAAAAGAGATATCAACTTTTAATAAATTTCCCTAGTAATTTGTGCATTGAGCATCCAATTTGATTAGCTTTCGTCTCATTAATCTACAGAAAATTATGGCTCGCATTAATCTGCGGAAGATTATAGCTATGTTTACTTTCTCTGTCTTTGTTTATCTTTTATCAGAGCATGACTTATTCTCATGCTCTTATATCGAGACACTTACTTAAGTGGCCTGCGCATAATGTCAGAAACTGGTTTTTTCTCCTGATTGTGAGCCGCCGATAGATGGTTACTACTATTACTATTACTACTACTATTAGCGATCGGCTTGTTGATTGAGGCTTTGGGCTGACTATTGCCGGAAGTTGGAATGCTCATCGTAGATTCCCGATGCCTTGCATACGATGACGGAGGAGGTATTGTTCTTCCGGTTCCTTTCACTTTCACCTTGCGTCCGATATCTGGACCGTTCGCCTTTATCACCCTCGTGCTGAAAGAGCAACATAATTTCCATTGAAATAAATGAAAATGCAGGGCTAGAAAAGTTGCCTCACAAGTTACCTTATAATTTACTTTTTATTATGGAAATTAAGTACAATTAGTTCGAGTATTTTATTTTTTATGTTATATTTTATCATTTTGCTTCAATTTTGTATTACTTTTTGTATTACTCAATTTCAATAACAAACATATAAAGTAATCTAAAAAGTAACTTAGAAATAACTTATAAAATAACTTCCAACCCTGTGAAAAGATATGATATCCTAATATATTATATGTTATTTAATTAAGTAATGTTAAAAAATTGGAAAAAATAACTTTAATAATTTTTTAACAAAGAAAAAAAAACGATAAAAAAAAGAAGATGAAAAGTTTTATGAAGATAAAAACATTTATGTTCTTATTTTAACTTATCTAAAAATATTGGTATAAAAAAGTTACATATTTCTAATATATTTACTTAGAGGAAATATAATATAATAGCATAATTTATTTCGTCAAGTCATTTCGGCAAGGATGACATATTCGTAACGGCAAATCTCTCTCATTTCCCGTATATTTACGTACGAAACGGTCTTCGCGCGACGAGCTACGCTTTTATTCATACAATTAATACAATTTGCAACATCACTGACATAGGGGTCCGATCGATTGTCTGACTATGCAATTTTTTCTTTGACGTAAACGGCGCGTAAGCGTACGCCATGATAGAGGCACTGCAACGGTGAAGAGAGACGGAAAAGGGTTCAGGCGTGATGAAATCGCACTTGTGAGGCGCTCTTAGCCTTGGCCGTGACGACTAAACAAATTAGCTGTGGGCGGTTTAGAAATGGAATAATAGCAGCCTCAGAATAGGCTAAATCGAATGGAAAGGCAACAGGAGTTGGACAAAATTACGGATATTGTCTTGTATATTTATGTAGCGAAGGATAAAAGGTGACTGGTCCGAAATTGAATGAATGAGTCTCGTAATACCGCGACAGATAGCATTGTTATGATTGTATGTCGCTAAATATAGCATCACCTGAAGAAGAGGAAACATTCCACGAAATAGGAAACTTCTTATATAGTCGATGATACAGAGTCATACGGAAATGCGAAGCCTTATTAGTTATTACATGTGAGAATCTTAAAAATCCATTTGTTTGCAAAAATTTGAATAAACGAACATCCGTATTTTCTGTACAATAAGACATTTTGATAATTTTAATAAACGATATTTTTTAAGCGTGCAACACATCGATATAGATATTTATTGTTATATATGAGCATCATTTATTCTGTCAATGGATGCGAACGTTCAACTCTGCGAAATCTGTATCTTCTATACGTGTCTTCGAATATATTTAAAAAATCCCGGAATATTTATAGATAACGTAAACCCCACCCATGTGCGACAACGTGCTATTATTCAAGGTATGTCCGTCAACTAAAAGTACATCCTCGGGCGATATTCTACAAATTCTCACGATATCGCAGGGATCGTATGCGCGCACGAGGCTACCTCGTAAATTCCTTCGTGAATCGCACGAACATCCGTTAGGAGACCGTATCTACGGGCGAAAGTTTGTAAGAGTAAAAGACCACGAAGCAAGGATTATTTACGATTCCGCGGCGCTTCGCGGAGGAAAGTCCTGAAAATGGAAAGAAAGGAAAGCGGTCGCGTCTTTCCAAAAGGAAGAGAGATCCTTCGCCCGGAGGATCGAACGGTCGTCGACGGCTGTATGTCCCACTCCTCAAGGGAGTATCCTTACCATTTGTTCTTGTTATTCTCCTCGACGACCGCCATTCTGTGCCTGGTGGTCTCGTAAACGTCATCGTTTGCTTGTATCCGCATCTTGTACGGTATAGCGCCGAGGCTCTCGAGGCTTCTACGAGAAAGAAGAGCGAGAAGATAATGAGAAGATAAAAAGAAAAAAATAATAAGAAAATGACAAGAATCAGGATAAGAGGCAATTCTTCAAGCGATTCAACCCGTATCTTTTAATATTAAATTAATGAACCAGAGTACACAGGAAAGATCGAATTTGAAAGTATCTTTTAGCTAAATATACAGAGAGAAAATAGAATTATAAAATTTAAGTGTAACGAGCAATGCGTTTTCATATTCTATAAGCAACTTGTTTGAGTTGCTTATAGAACAAATTATTTTTTGATGCTCCAACAAAATTATTTTCAAATCTGTATCTAACAAAATTTTTACTATGTCAGCAAAATTATTCTTTCAGTGTAAGGTATAAAAATATATAAACAGAAGAGACGCGTCTCTTGATTTTGCCAAAGTATTATTAGTAGGTTATTACTAGTTATTATTATTATCGTTATTGTATTTATTGATGATACGTTATGTATAATTTATATGCCTTTATACGATACATTATGTCATATATTTATACGCGAACTATACGCGTATATAACATATCGGTTTATTGTTGCTCGGAAAATCAAGTAAAGCAATCAGAAATGAATCAACGAGCAAATCGAAGCTCAATTTATCATCGCCATGTTACGTTTTTAACATCAATTCAAGTCAAATCACCGGATCGTATCGTCGGATACGCGGTAAGCACCAGTAGCAAGTATTACTGAATCGGTTCTGCTGACGCAAGCATAACCGTCCGCGACGAGTGTAGTCGCCAGTAGTCGACACCTGCTAGCTCACTAACAGCGCTTTAGTGTGTCAAGTTGCCGCGATAAAACCACCTGCTCAAGGATGCTCCAAAGTTTTTACGTCGCTCGATTTAGATTGCGGATTACGTTACGGCGCTTACGATGGAAGATTACTCGAAATTACCGTATCGCGCACCGAGTCCATTCACCGAGACATTAATTTCTCTCTGTAGTTATATAGCGAATCTGATAGCCGCTGTGGCATACATAAAATAAAATTTGTCTACTTGTCTATCTATCTAGCTTTCCTTCGAACGGCTGTACAAAATATAATAACATCGAGGAATAAAATCGTCTGGTTAATAAATAATAGACGTAAAGCGATTTACCTCGCGGCTTCTCTCTCAGCTTCGAGAGTTTCTCTCGTATTCAGATATATATTTTCATGTCGATACGCTGAGCGTACGAGCGTAATACATAAAATATCTCGCAAGCTCTCTCGTTATACCGTAATAATCAATACGTACTTAGGGCCGGTCTGTTGAGCGAGCTCGAAACCACCCTGGGAACCCTCCATGTCCTGGCTGCTGGAGATGCTGAAGGTGAATCTGGCCACTCCGTTGATGGATGGAATGCTGAGACGCTGAAATCAGAACGCAGAGCGTGCATGTTAGTTGTCGTTCTCTTAATAAGATCGCATTAAATTAAACAAAACGGCGACCTATGCGGCGGTGTATCCGTACGAATAGCGTCTCCGCATGGAGAGGATCTGCTGTATATCTCTCTTTTTTATATCTTTTTTTCTCTTATAGCTGCAGATATATAGCCGCCATATATAATACATGAAGTTCACCTATGTATCTGTTCAGCTATCTATTTAATGTCTGTCTCACTGTTCGTCAATTTCACTCACTTCTCTCTTTGTTTCTCACATAAACTAAAGAAAGTTTTACGAGAACAATAATGTTTTCAACGTGTACTTTTAAATTTAATTCCACTCGAATCGTTTAACTAGATAAAATATTCATATGGGCATTTTCCCTAATTTTTCAGCATGTATTCGAATCAATAAAGTACAATAATGTTGCGATACTTAAACGCCAATATAGATTTAATTCGTAATAGAAACATATATTTTCTGACGTTGAGGAATATATGGGAGCCTTTTTGTTGTTGGTTTTATCTTTATTAATCTTTCAAGTTTAAAATTGTAAAAAATAACATTGCGATATACAAAATTACGTCAAATCGTTACTATTGAAAAAAATTAGGAAAACTTCCAGGATCACCAGGATCCACCAGATGTGTTCCAGTTACGGGTTAAATAAATTAAGACTGGTGCAAACGTCGCCAAATATTAATGTGAGATTAGTAGATAGTAAAATGACAAGGGTGCGATTTGTTTACCGCCGCATAAGCGAACCGATGACATTTATGCGTTTTATATTAAATTATATGGACCGAACACCGTCAAAGTATAATATATTCGCGATAACGTCATTTATATCGAGCGACAAGTCTCGGCTCGTTTGCGCTCCTCTCTCGCTCGCTGCATGTGCATTGGGCACGAAATCGATCCGCGATCGACGTTGCGAAACGAGAACATTTGCGGCGATGGGAGCGCGAAGCGTGTCGCCGTTTGCGGAATTAGCGCGTAATTCGCGTAATCGCGGATGGCTGTCCCCGACGACTACCGATTATCGTCCGACATTGAATTAGACCGAGGAGAAGATAATGCCGGCGAGCCGGAGCGCGCGTCTAGAAGTAAACAGATCCTAATCGGATTGTCGCCGGTAGCACGACGGTGGCATTTCGATGACGCCGTCAGATTATAAAGGAATTCGAGCGATCTCGGATCGATGTGGAGCCGCGCTAAGCGCAAAGTGCAAAGGGCAGCGAGTCATAACTTTCGGGCCAGATTTCGCGACGGTGACGGGAGAGTGAACTCAACTGTGGTTCAATCTTCCCTTTGACACGCTATTATACTATTGTTCCAAAGAGATAATAAAATATTATTAACAATAATAAGATTGGAAATAATGGCCTCGGTAGTCTAAGACGCTCGCAGGGGATCTGCAACAGATCCGAGTTCGACTCCCGCCCGAGGCGGGATATTTTTCGCAATGAATTTATTAGGTTTTTTAAGACTAAATTTGGGAAATTTGGAGGGATTATTAATATTTCAGATTGATTGCTTTAAAAGTCCGACAACCGTATCGGCACCGCAATTATAATTTTTGAAATTAATTCATTTAAATGAATATATATAATAGTTTAACATCTTAACATTCAGGCCGTAGCACTTCGTATTTAAAGTAATGTATCTAAAATATTATTTTTATATTATTTTTGTAGACTCAACCACATACACGGAAAGGACAATTTTGCTAAAATATCGAAAAAAAAAAGCTAGATGTACATAGAAGATAATTTTATTAGACCATCAAAATAATTACGTAAGTATCTCAAGCATGAAGAGCAATGCTGTAAAAAGTTTCATTCTATTTCTATTCATTCTAACAAGCAGTTTTGAACATCCCACATAATTATTTTAACGGTCCGACAAAATTATTTTCAAATTTATATCTAGTTCAGTTGTTAGATATATATATATATTAGATATATATATATAATCAGTAAAACCGTCCCTTAGTACACATACTGTCATTAAAAGTCTGTTTATGTTCCATTTGATTCACGTTCTGTTCTGCGGTTAATTTTTCTTTCTATTTTTGACTGTTTCGTGTTTTTGCCGTATGATTTATCTTACCTTGTGCCGTAATTGTATCTTGTTTTTATTGCAACATATAAAAGTAAGTATAGAAAAAACGTAAATTATTATTTATGCTCTTTGTAATTATCCAATTTATCTATAAATCAATTTTGTATGTACGCAACAAAGTATGTAATATCTTTGTAAAGAGGAAAAAGAGAAACAATTTTGCCATTGCCAACGTTATACGTCACGATATTTTGTATAGTAGAGCAAAATGTATATGTATTTAAATAATAATAAAAATATATGTGCATATACATGCGTTTCTCACATTTATAACAGCATGTACTATATACATATGCAATGGCCTTTAAATAATTCTTTCCTTAATAAACGAGTTAATGCAATATTATCTTGACAGTATAGCGAGTGAAGTAAAAATACGTGTCTTTAAAAGCCTGAGTATAATGAGAGTAATATGATGTAGTAAGTCGTGCACACAGAAAAATATATACTATATTCAAATAATAATTACTTGTTTCAAGTATTTCAAAAGTTTATGTATGTATATATAATATATATATATATAATATATAAAATGTATCAAAATGTGTCCTGAAAGCGCTCCTCCTAAAGCCAACGATATTGATTATCAAAATAATTAGAAGTAAATATGAATAAACCTCAACGATTGCCGTAGAATTGGCCGCGATTGACGCAAGCGAGATCTGCGTGACCTTTTTTCGCAAATCAATTTCATCGAACTCGATCAAGCGCAACTGATCGTTTCGCAACCTTTGCATATACCGCCCCTCCGACTCTCGTTTCTCATTCCTCCCTCGCCCTGCGTTGTTCTACTCTCCTCCCTTTCTCCGCGTATTACGCATACGAAATATCTTTTCCTTTTTTCTTGCATAATTTTTACGAACGGTGTAACGCAACAATTGCGGGTACATAATGTCATATTGTAATTTTCTCCATAATTTGGATTAGAGAACTTTAACAGGTGATTGGACATCAGAAGTGTTTTTGATTGGTCTACTATTTCTTTAGCATTTGCGTTAATCGGAACAATATAACACATATCTTTTCCTTTCTCGAAAATAAACGACATTCTCTGATGTCTAATCTGATAGAAGTTGAGGGGTTCTATTAGGCTGGAAGTGGCATTGTCGAGGCTCCCTTTTAAGAAAGGACTTCTGTATTGTTATGCAACAAAACACACAAATTTATCCCCTTTGACGTCCACTCCCTCAAGTTTATTACATCATACTGAGACTCAACTGAGTTTGAAATCTACGAGAAGAAAAAGGAAGAGAAGGAAGAAGGAGAATCAATCTCCGATTCGGACGTGATGTAAGAATACAAGGTATATATAACATTGCGCATAATAACGACTGGATTAATTTCTGACTAGATTTGTCCCGTCTCTGATTGGTTAGAAAAATTTGAACAACTGTACACCTGTGATATATCTTTTCATCATGAGTTCGAGAAACGGCAGCGAAATGACAAGACAGGACGAATCGATAAGGACGTTCTAGCCACGTGGCGGGAAGGCCGACATGCGTAGGCGAAATGTGGATAATGATAATGATGACGGTGACGAGACAACACACACATGACGCTAGCGTACGTAATACTACTTAAGAAGTAGCAGCGAAGAAGGGAAGGCAAGCACTTCTCTCTCACGGGCCGTTCGCGTATCGAGGCCATAGGGGCTCTCTGCGAAGCTATCTCCCTCCCTTTTACTCCGATAGGATGGATATACACCGCTGTCGTTGTCGTTGTTGCCGTCTCTTAAACGAAAGGTCGAATCGCACGAGAATGCGATATGAAAGTCTTGTGAAGGGAACAGCCGCGACGGGGTGTGTAACCGGGAGCGCTTATTTAAATTTCACTGCGCGCACGGAAGGACGGCCGGTTTATCTGTCTGGTTTGTTTGCCTGACTGGACCTGTCTCGTCACAGCTATATCGTCCAAGATGAGATTCGCGCGAGATCCCATTGTGCGAGTCGTAGTACAAGTACGACCATCGGCCAGCCGGTTTGGATTCTCACGCCGTCGTTCAAATACATGGGAGGCTCGCGAGATCGCACGAAGATCTCTCGATCAAGGGGAGTTACTCGGAGATTATCATCCTTAGACGAACCTGCGGGGACAGCGATCCCTCAATCTTCGTCATTATCATAAAACCTGTTCGATTTTTCTAATTGCTGTACAGCAGTTTAAGCCCGTAACATTTCGTATCGAAAAGTTTAATGCACGTATACAGCTGTAATATCGTACAATCTTCTTTTTATCCCATATTCCAGTAGTCTGTTTTAATGGAATTTTAATGGAGAATTCCGTTGGCAAATCATCTACACGGAAAGAACAATTTTGCTAAACTATCTAAAAATTTAGCTAGATACAGATTTGAAAATAATTTTGTTTGGAACATTGAAATAGCTATGTAGAATGTTCGGACTGGTTGCTAGAATGTCAAAACTTGCTGCGGTGTTGCTCGAGATTCCAACGCAATTATTATGATGGTCCAAATTATTTTCAGATCTGTATGTAGATAACGTTTTAAATACTTCAAAGAGACAAATCGTCTTCCTCGTATAATTTTGAACAATAAAAAAAGAACAAGACACGTCATCAACCTTGTATCAAGGAAAACCTGGATTTCAAATTAATCAGAGAATCCACGGAATCAAAGTTTATCAGGTTTCTTGGTATTATTACGTATAACGTCATTGAGCATTGAGAAACAAATCATACTCTATTGATTATTTGTGCCGCGCATATACAAGATGTGACGAATCGAACAATGTGCAAACACCTCTGCTTCTTCCTCTTATTTACACACTCTCTCTCTCTCTCTCTCTCTCTCTCTCGATATCGAATTGCATTTTTCGCAATTCAATTCAAGTAATGCCGAT